TCATGTTTTTATATGCAACATTATACCTTACTATGCAGGAATTTTTTTATTACAAAAAACTCTCGGAGAGTTACGATATCTTATAAGTATAAGCAAATGTACACGCTTGAAAATGTATTTTTTTCTCAAAAATCTTTTTTTATTTCTTCTCTGTGGTTTAAATTTTTGGCAGCACTGCTAATACTTTGAATAATTTGTCATCGAACTGTTAATTAAGAAAAGACGTCATTATAAAAATATGTTGTCATATATAAATAATAATTTATATAATTTGAATGAAATTAATCTTTTGAGTTTATGACGTCATATGTTTAATTGATTCGACTACTCCAAAGGCCTTTTCAGCAAACGCCATGTATATTTATTTAACAAATGATACGTATTTAGCACCCATTTGTGTTTTAAATAAGTAAAAATAAATTCTCAAAATAAATCTAATGAAGAAGTGAGCGGGCAAACAGACTGCGGGAACGAACTAAAAAGTTCAGTGATTTGAACGAACCATCTCCTCAAGTATTGTCTCCGGATAAATAGAGATAAATACTTTTTTCAGTACTAAAAAATTTATTATATGCAAGCCGAAATATACAATAGTATCTTGATTCTATACATACTATCCTAAATCTACTATACTCTACTGCATATTGTATAATACAACATCATGATGGTGGCAACTTAAAGTCTCTATTAAGCCTTGTCTTATTTTTAACAGCCAGTGTTGATGCTATGAAGAAGAAAATTATTACCGGTATTGCCTATAATAAAGACAAGATGGACATAAAATCCAGAAAAAAGTTGTTTAATCTGTAAATCCTGATATTAAGTTTATGTACCAAGAGGGCTGGAAATAATGGAATTCTTGTTCGGAAAGTTCTCAACTTGAAGCCTTGCTCTCAAATCACTTGAATTATCCTTTCCAATAACATACCGAGGCTAAATTCTTTTGTAATTTTAGCTATAGTTTGACTTTAACAGCGTTTTGTTATCATTACTAATTCAAAAACAAATACTTTTCGAACGACCCTTATAAATGAATCACTAATCTCTAACAAGAGCTGAAGCGGTAAGCGATAATGATAGCTTAAAATTAATGGCTTAAAATATAATAAAATTAATAATATTAATAAGCCAGTATTGCGTTCATTTCGTAGGCATAAATATATGTCTGTATATATTCAGTACTATTTAAGATTATCCCAGATAAGCTTCTACACATATAAAAATTATCCCAGTAATGCCCGCAAAAAGGAGTCCCAAATACTTCAAGCGGCTAGCAAACATATTTTCAGTTCTAGCCACACGCCCTCAGAACGAACAGATGTTCGACGCTTTTTATTATACTTTTAGGTACACTATGGCAACAAACCATAACTATGTACATACTCGCACATACATGCATAAATACAGTGTCTATGCGAATGCGAAGAGCCCGAAGTCAAGCCAAAGCCATGGCAAACCAAAATCAAAACCAAGAAAAAAATAAAATATAAATATTAAAAATAAAGCCAAAAATGTAAAAGCTCACAAATAGTTATTCCAGTTCAATGAACTGTTCGGTGTAGCTTCTTTTTTCCGGCGGCCCCACGAACGCCGAGGTGCGCATAGTTTGCTCGTGTTATAAGCATTTTGGCAGTCAACGTCGTGTCTACAACTTGGCTGGCAGCAGCAGCAGCATATCTATTTGTCCGTTTTTGGCTTTGGATTTTTGGGTTGAGCGCTTGGCGGTGCTATACTCGCTTACAGAGTGAGCGCATACACAATACATACATGTGAATATACATACATACATATCTATATCTTTCAAATGACCGAGGCGTCTCATTGTGGAATAACCAAAAACAAAAACACAAAAAAAAAGTATAAAAAAATGGAAATGATAAAAGATTAAATAAAAGATGCGATTGTTAGAAAAAAAGCCGTCTTTCGGAAGATGCGTTCATCGACGAAAAAAGAACTGCAGCGCTAACAACGATCACGTGCCCGCAACAACGGCGTCAGATTCGTATCTCAACGTGTTGAGCAATTTTGATCTATGAAAATTTGTTATGGCTTTTTATTAGTGAAGTACTTGGAAGTTGTTTGGCGGTTTCCTAACGCATACACGCCTCTTTCGGTAATTAAAGATAATACAATTTTTTTTTTAAATGTTAGAATAAAGTTTACTATTCTCTCTTGGAGCACAAACTATCACATAAATATATTGGCGGCGTTGCAACCGTTTTATTGGGGGTAATACGCAGGTTCACTTATTTGCATTTGCATTTATTTTATTTGAAAACTTTTTTGTACTTTGTTTCTATATGGTATATACCTACAAACATATATTGTTTGAAAATATCCCAATAAACATTTCGATTGGGAACAAATAAGAACTTTTGTCCAGAGGACAATCTACTCCCAAGTCTCCAACGTCACTTCTCAACAGCATGTCAACTGATTTTCCAGTGCTTTTAAAAAAATAGTGGTTTTCATAGAGGTAATTATGTTTCCTTACTTGAAGTCAAAGGTTAAAACATAACGGTGGATACCAGCATAGGAACCTTTACATAAATATATCAAAGGTTGGAGAAATCTTTTCGAGGTTTTTTTTTTGGGATCGCCTCAATTCTTTTTTCAACAGACGAATCATCATTCCTAACAAAAGAGTTCACTTTTTATGAAAACAAATTTTTGCTTAAAATAATATAGTATTTCTCGTCAACTTGAACTGAAGTCTAATTCTCCAATAGGTCTTAAACTTAGAATTCTTAAACTGAAATGAAATGTTTAAGATATTTCATATCTGATTGCATTGACTTCTGCTTCTTCTGTAGTACTCCCCACTTTATTGAGATTTTATAGACTAAATAAAAACAGTCTCCAAAATTTCAACTTGAGACCAAAATGTTTTTAAAAGGTTAGAAATTAACTAGCAAACTTTAATCTATAATAATTATTCAAACATCTCAAAGTTCAAAAATTGTATAGTAAATTATGTGGGACGCAAACTGCTGTACTATAATTTCTTCAAATGCCTCAAAGGTTAGAAAAAATTGCATACAATTTGCTGGATATCAGTTAAAGATAATAAATATCTTTAGAGTTGTTTATGAGATATGAACTTTAGAACTAAAAATTTTTGAATCGCTGCAAATGTCTTAAAGTTGCGTTAACACCCGTGTACCGTTATGGAATGCGCGTTATTTTGTGGAAATTAAACTAATGGGAAAGTAAAAATGATGAAGAAAATAATAATTCAAAGTATTGATCATTGCTTTTTATACATTTTGACCACCTTTCTGGCTATTTGTGGATACTATGCACATTTCTATAGGAACCCTTTGAAGCAAACCATTCAGTCACCCAATTTTCGACTTCTGCTTTTGAATCAAAGTGCTGCTCTGCCAATGCGTGTCCTATTGATGAAAAGAAACAGTAATCAGAAGGTGCCAAGTCTGGTAAATAGGGTGAATGAAGTTACAGCTAGTACATTGACTGTATCCTGAACAGATTTTGCTTTGTGTGGAGGTGCTTTATCGTGTAATAAAATTACTTTGCCGTGTCTTCTGGCCCAACCCGGTTCAAATTGATCATTTGTTGTCTGTAGCAATTAGTATTAACAGTTTCACCCAGTTTCAGAAGCTCATGTTATATCACACCCTTCTGATGCCACCAAACACAGAGCATTGCCTTCTTACCGAATCGATCTATTTTTGCAGTCGATGTTGATAATTGTGCTGGATTAACCCATGATTTTTTCCGCCTAAAATTCTTCAAATAAATCCATTTTTCATCGCCAGGGACAATTCGATGCAAAATTTATTTTCTTTCGTGTATTTGAAGCAACACTTCCCAAGTGTCTTTCATTCAATTCAGGTGGCACCCATTTTACAATATAAAAAATATGAATAGTTTCATATTTTTGGGAGATTAGGGGATATTTGTAGTTTTGATTTTTTTTTTTGTTGAATCCCAACTTAAGATTTATAAATTATAAATGTCTTGAAGTGTCTCAAATGTTTGAGAATAGTTTTATAACTATGCTGGGACATAAATAAAGCTATAAAGGATTAGAGAAATCTAATGTTTGCTGGCATATATCATTTCTGCACTGTTGTTGCATTTAGTTATTCAAATTGATTGCTGAACATAGTTGAATAGTGCGCTGTGGCAAAATGTTAATCATCATCGTCGACACCTTTTTAAATTTTTAATAGATTCAGAAGCGCTTGCGCCAATCACAGTACACTGAACTTTGCTTGCCGTTCGCTTAAGCTTTCATCATTTGTCGATCGCTTTGGATTTCTGTTGATGACGTTCCAGTTGGCTTGTAAGTAGTTCGGAGTTTCCTCTGTGCGTTTGATGTACAAGTACAATATAAACATAGCCTACATGCAGATATATTTTATATATGCGTTTTGTTTTTGCACAGCAGAAAATCTGCGAAGAGTTGAAGTCACGTGGCATGGCAATACAGGTAGCAGATACACGAATATACCTAGTTCTACAAGACTTTTAAATAAACATATTGACATATACTTGTATGTAAGTATAATATATAAAAGCACATATGTGAGTAAAAAGGTATTCGTAGTGCTAAAATGAGATCACTTCATTTGCATGGAATTTTAGATTAAATGGAATTTTAGATTAACATTCCAACAGTTTTACTTATATTAGTCTATAAATCAGCGTACTAAGTAATTGTACTATATCTATTCAGCTTAAATAATGAGACTTATTTAATGGAGGCATGCCCTAACGTGCCCCTGGCAATGAACAATCAAATAATGCTTTATTCTTTTCATTTCTTATGTATATGTGTATGGTATACAGATAGGCCATACTCGTATCTTTAAAACAATAGAATTTAAACAATTAAAAATATATAAACTTAAAACTTAAAACACAAAGGTAGGAAAATTTTAAGAAATTTATTTAATATATGCATTTTTTATCCTAATTCAAACCATGAAACTATTTCTTAAAACATATAAATAATAATAATAGTAATAATTTCTATTTCAGTTAAAGTGGCAACGCCATAAGTCAAATTGGTTCACGTCCTCCTAGTTATCATAACCTGGTAAGTAAATTCCGTGTTTTTCATTTGTATTATTTTAAATTTAAGAAAGGTGGTAACTACGTTCTTATTTATATTTTAGTTGCATTTTAGTTGTTGAGGCATTTAAAATTTTTACCAAATTGCAAATTTGTATTTAATTTGCATAATTAAAATATTTCTTGATAACTTAACATACAAAATCGCTTTTACAAGCGTTTCCAGACCGAAATTATTTCATTTGATTGTCCTATGTCTATGAAAAATAATATAAACCTCCAAGAGTTTTGAAGTTAAATATTTTGTGTTCTCGCAATATGATCTGCCGTTAAAGCGCACCTCACTATAATCACCGTATGAGGTAAGCGTCCACAATTTAAAATGATACACCACAAATGACTGCTGTCCGTTGTTTGACTGTAGGCCGGCTGTCGTTTTAGAACTCTCAGATCGGAATAAGTCAAACGCCAATTTTGTTTATGACTTAAGCTACTTGGTCGGTTTAACCGTAACTATAGTGCTTCGCAGTCTTGCAGCTACTACACCTCATAGTTTTTATCGGTTCAAAGTATTACTAGACCAGTCAGCAAAATATTGAAAGCTAGCTTTGAGAAAAATGCCTAAGAGTTTAGCTAGTATAGGTTCTTGAAAACTTAATGTATATAGAAGAAATACTCTCCACCACTATAGAAGTTTATTTTTCAATAGACATACCATAGGCTTGCTTTTAGGCCAAATCCCTATATTATTATGGCTAAGCTATGGCCTTTTTGAAGCTGTTTATTATTTATTTATTATTTTATACTCTAGAATTTCGCATTTGAAGTCAGTTTTGGTATATTAACCATATGGATCTACCTTTTTTAAAAGCAATTTTTTGTATTTATTTAATGATAATGACAATGAAAAACACACACAAACAAGCTCAACAACATCCATGACAAAACAAAACAAACAATAACGAAAACACTGCTGGAGTCACTTTTTTTGTATAATTTCTTATTAATTAAAGAAGCGAATACAAAAGTGTGAATTTACGCTAGGAAGAAATAAACTTAAGCCGCACACCGCCGAGTTCTTCAATTGTTTTACCGACAGTCTCTACAAGTGAGTATGAGTTTCTGCAAAATTCCGATTATTTGTTAGCAGTCATGTGTTGTTGTATAAATAAAGATGTTTCTTTTTGTCAAACCAAAGAAGTATGCGTTGGCAGGTGTCTGTCAGATTACAAACAAAGTGATCGACACGATCACGATCGGTGAGAAAATTATATACATACCTACATGAGATGAGAGCTTAGTGTGAAGCACAAGCGCTAATATGGTATAATAATAATTTGTTAGTGGTACCCAGTGTGGGCGAATTTGACTGCATAGAAATGTTTTTCTTCAATAATAATAAATAATTAGGACAAGTATGTGGCTATGATACAAGCAATGAAATACTTAAATTTCTCAAAAGTTTTTAGCGATTTGAGTTTTGTGAGTTTCTTAATTTCGTTGCAATTTAGATAGTGTGGCAAGCGGCTACTTTTATATGTAGGTAGGTTATCAGACTGGTTGAAAAGCTTGTATCGAACACTTGAAAAATACATTAATTTTGCAGAATTAGATTTTTTGTGATTCACTGATCATACCAAATCTCCAATTTTTTTACGCATTCCAAATAATTTTAGCAGGGTTAATTTGAGGAACGATGTATAACACTTTCTGATTCTAATAATGATACTAACATTTAAAAATGCCTTATATATATCAAACGTTGTATTTAAGAAATTCGGAAAATAATTAAAGAGTTTGTAAGAAAATTGGAGAGTCTGAAAAAATTGGAGAGTTCGAAAAAAATTGGAGAGTTTGAAAAAAATTGGAAAGTTTAAAAATTTGCAGAATTTGTGCAGGTTTGTAAAGTTTGAACATTTTTAGTTAGCTTGCTTTTATTTTTAGAGCTTGAAAATGTTTAAAGAAGTAATTTGTGTTGATTAATCTGACCAGAAAGGCTATTGAATATGTGCCAAAAAAAAAAAAACGGTTATAAAATTACGGATACCGATGGGTATTAAAGTGCTTTGAAGAAGATTTTCTCGTTTAACTTTAAATCTAATATTCCTCCGAAGATCTTAACAACTCAGCTTTTTACTTCATCATTAGTAAGTTTTTTTCCAAAAAAAAGCTCCATAGTTTTACATAAATTTGGTTATTCGCAACAGTTCTTACTTATCATAATATGCATATGACTATTTACAAACGACTTCATACGAACTAACTCTCCTCCTATTTACCTGCTAAGCTTTTCCCTAAGCTTCATAAACTTCTCACACACTCTTTCTCACGTAGTGCAGAACTATATGCACAACTATTTGAGTATATACGTATACATATGTATATGTATAAGTATGTGTGTGTGCTATGAATTACTCGTAAATATTTAAACGTGATTCCCTCTCGCCTTTTTTAGGCAAAAATACCACAAATTGTATGCATTTTGTTGTTGCTTTTAATTCGTCTTTTTGTCGCATAATTCGTGCGAGCATTATTATTGGGTGAAAACTCTAAAACGCCGCATTAGGGTACATTGAACTTCTTCCCTCCGGTGGATTTGTGATGTCACAAACGTTTACTATCGCATCGCCGATGTTAAATGAGCTGCGTGACTGCCTGCTTTGCCCGCTTGGCTGCTTGCCTAGTTACTTAGTTGGCTAGCTTCGTTAGCTTACGGCTTGCCTGCTGGCTGATCGCTTATGACCACATACTCGTGCTTCTGCCACTCTAGCTTTTCGGGTAGTTATGTTGCTTTGTTGTTTTTACTGCTATTTAATTAACATACAAGCGACGATAATGCGTGCGGAGATTTGATAAGCCCCTTTAATCCCCCTCGACGTCGTCGCCTTCGCTAAGAGCCATCTATATAAATTGTTTGCATTTGTGGGGCATAAAATATTCCGAAAATCCGACAATTTTATTGGTTCAAAATGCATTAATATGTGTAGATATACAGGGGTTTCAGCTGCACACACATGTGCCTGAATTTAAAATAATTATAAATTTCTCAGTTTTGTTGATATGAAAATCGATTTAGCCGATTTAAAGCGTTTAAGTTCATTTACATTCTGCTGAATTAAATAAAAAAAACTACTGTTATGTTTAAAATACTTTTATGATATGTTTTCTAATATAAGACTTAGGTTTTAAATTTTGTTACATGGGAAGTAGGCGTGGTTGTCAACAGATTTAGCGTATTTTCACACTGAAAGATAAGAATGTCAAAATATGGTCGATATCGGTCGAGTAGGACCTAAGATATAAGGTTTCAAACCTTATGTCTCTGTGGAATTTATTTATTGATTTATCGCGCTTTTAGTAGTACTTTTAACAGAACCGTTATGTGCGGAGTGGGCGTGGTGACCACCCGATTTCATCCATTTTTACAGTGCAAGTAGATGTTCTTACAAGATGTGTCATAAGAAAATCCTAAGAAAATTTGTGATATATCTGGAATGGTTTGGGAGATATGTACATTAAATTAATTACAGGGCGGGGCTACGCCCACTCTTAAAATTTTTTTCAGCACACAGATCTCCCTTGCTCCGCAATTCCCTCTACCAAATTACAATATTATATCGTAATTAAGTGCTTAGTTATGGCACTTTATCGATTTTCGTTTAATTGCATTTTGTGGGCGTGGCAGTGGTCCGATAATGCCCATATACGAAATCCTTCTTACTTTTTTTTGGCAAAGAACTGGTGTACCACTTCATTAGTAATACAGTTTGATTAGGATATCTGAATTGTTACTCTAGTTACAGCTTGCACAGAGAGACGGACGGACAGACAGACATTCGGATTTCAACTCGTCTCGTCATCCTGATCGTTTATATATGTATACTTGTATATATATATATAACTCCATACCTATCTCCATCTCGGATTTTGACCTTCTACGGAAACTAGTGCGTAAGGTTGTTCTAATTTCTCAGTGCGGTTTTTTTGTAAATTATATCCAAAACATTGTATCCGCTGTGTGTGGTGTGAGATAGGTATGTGGGATATAGGTAGGAGGTATCATCGGTGTATTTTAGGAATGTATTATTTTTATTTTTGAGAGACCAATTCTATTGCTTAGAGAATATTAACACAAATAGAGTAATATAAATTGGAATATATTTTTTTATAATTTTTATTTGTTAACTTTACTATACTTTTTGTCGGCTATTTATAAAAAGTGTAAGTTTTAACTTCCAAATAATTAATTTTACTATTTCTTTCGATCTTTTCTTTCAACACTAACAGGTTAGTTGCAAAGTGGGTAGTCCTCACCAAGAAATAGCATTACTAACTCCAAATTTTCTTTTCTCAAGTTGGTCAATCTGTCGTGAGAACTCTGCCACGTTACAAGTCATTTTGTCAATTAATTATTTATTTACAAACTATTTGAAGTTGACGTGTCAGAGTTTTTTTTTAATATGGAAAAAATTGAGTATCGCGCAATGATTAGCTTTCTTTCTTTTGAAAGGTTTAAAAGCAAAGAAAATTTATAAAGAATTGTTAGAGGTGTATGAGGAGTCATCACCTTCAAAACGCACTGTTGAATTTTGGGCTGGTGAATACAAACTTAGTCGTAGGTCATATTAGGCATGAAGACGATCCATTCGAAGGACGACCGAAACTGCAACTACACCAGAAATTATTGAGCATGTTCATAATATTGTTAGTCCAAGTTTGACTAAGCGTGAAATTGCTAATGCCATAGGCATTTCAGACGAAGCACTACTTCATATTTTACATTGAGAATTACATATGAAAAAGCTGTTTGGAAAATTAGTGCCGCACGTTGGTTGCATATTGTTTTGAAACCAAATAAAAATGTGTCGATTGCCTACTTATCAAGGTTCTATCTCTATTCACGAAATATCTCTTAAAATAATTGGATAAAAATTAAAAATAATCCTAATAATTCTCAAGGTACATCCGAACAGCTGATGTGTGTAGCGAAAGTTTTTGTTGTAACAATAAGTAACTTGCTTGTTT